ACCCAAGCTGCAGTGCAGTGGCATGGTCTCAACTCACTGCAATCTCCACCTCCCAGGTTCAAGCAATTCTCCTGCCTCAGCCTCCTGAGTAGCTGGGATTACAGACATGCACCACCATGTCCGGCTAACTTTTGTATTTTTAGTAGAGACAGGGTTTCACCATATTGGTCAGGCTGACCTTGAACTCCTGACCGCATGATCTGCCTGCCTTGGCCTCCCAAAGTGCTGGCATTATAAGTGTGAGCCACCGCACCTGGCCGTATGTCTTGAACTATTCATTTATTGTCTAAAGTGGAAGCTGCATGAAAGCAAGGGCTTTGTTTTGTTTCCTGGTATATCCCCAGGGCCTGTAAATGGCAAATACTCAAAAACATTGGCATAAATGAATGTCTACCTTCTTGCACTAGAGTTGATACTCTCTGAGCGTGGGGGACTTAGTTACCTTATATATCACCAATTCCTTGGTCCAGGAGAAGTACTCACTACATCCTTTTTTGTAGCCCAGGCTAGAGTGCAGTGGCGCTGTCTCAGCCCACTTGCAACCGCCACCTCCTGGGTTCAAGTGATTCTCATGCCTCAGCCTCCTGAGTAGCTGGGATTACAGTCATGCACCATCATGCCCAGCTAATTTTTGTATTTTTAGTAGAAACAGTGTTTCACCACGTTGGCCAGGCTGGTCCTGAACTCCTGACTTCAAGTGATCCGCCTACCTCAGCCTCCCAAAGTGCTGAGATTACAGGCGTGAGCCACCATGCCTGGCCAATACCTTATTATTAAATGAGTAAATGAGCATATGGAGAGCCACCTCTTATGGTGCCCAGTTTCTCATATCTCAGATGAGTCTCCCTTTAGGCTCATATAAGTAGGTGGAGAGTGTAGAATCCACCTATCTACAATTCTCAAAGCTGCCTTCTACCTCACTTGATGGCAGATGCGATTCCCCCAAAGCGGAAGTTCAGTGATAAGGGAACTGTCATCGGGAGGTGTCTCTAAAATGTTATGAACCCATTATGCTAGGACACCACCAGCTGACTGGCAGCTTCTGTCACCATCATTTGATGGCAGCCACAGGAAGAAAGCATCAGTTTCCGGCGTCCGCACCACCTGCACCCCTGGTGCTTCTCTTCTGGGCTTTCTTCCCCTTTCCCTTCCTTTTGGAGACATAGTTGGCTGCAGGACAGGTCTCTGAGGCCAGATTGCTTGACTTGTAATCCGGGCTCCGCCACTTACTAGCTGTGCAGCTTTGGGCAAGTTACATTACCTCTCTGAGCCTGTTCCCCCATCTGTAAAATGGGGAGGATAATGGAACCTACCCCCATAATGTGGTTGTAAAGATTAAATGAATCAGTGTAGCCAAATGCTTAGAACAGTTACTGATCATAAGCACTTGCTCAGCACACACTCAGCTGTGGTCCTTGTCTAGGCTAAAGGGTTTGAAACATCTTCATAAATTAGTCAAACACTTTTCAAGTAAAATTGGGAAGACAATCCTAATATACAAAACAGTTTAAAAGGGCTCCTCTAAGGCTGGGCGCAGTGTCTCACACCTATAATTCCAGCACTTTGGGAGGCCGAGATGGGCAGATCACTTGAGGCCAAGACTTTGAGACCAGCCAGGTCAACGTGGTGACACTTCATCTCTACTAACAATACAAAAATTGGCTCAGTGTGGTGGTGCACACCTGTCGTCTCAGCTACATGAGAATCACTTGAACCCAGGAGGTGGAGGTTGTAGTAAGCCATGATCGTGCCACCACACTCCAGCCTGGGGATCAGAGCAAGACTCTGTCTCAGAAATAAATTAATTAATTAAATGAATACATTTTTTTAAAATAAAAGGGCTCCTCTGGTCCTATTGAAAGTGAGTGTCTTAGAAGTTCTCAAACCCCTTCCCATCCTCCTCTGATAACTAGAAGATAAAGCTTCTCGAAGTGGGTCTTGAGATTCACAGCATCAGAATCACCTGATTATTAAAAATGCTTATTAAACATGCAGCGTTTGGGGCTCCATCCCAGACCGACTGAATCAGATTCCCCATGGGTGGTGCCTCGGAGCCTGCATTTTAACAGTCTTTAGGTGATTCCTAAGCACGTGGAAGCTTCCTCCAAGCCTCCGAGTACGAAGTACCTGGTAGGCCACCTTTAGATACGTCCTTCATGTTCTCCACTCCTGTCAAGGGCAAATCCTTTCGGGGTAGTGAAGTTCCTACAACGCCATGCTAACCCTCTTTTCATTTCCACTCAGAGGACAGTGAAGAGGAGGAGAATGTCTAACTTGGAAAATGGCACTACCAAGTGGAGGGCCGTCCACCAGTTGGCACTGAGCCATCCCACTGCATCTGCCCCAATGTCCACTCCCTGCTGCTAGCTGGGTCTGGATTATGGTGGTCTACAGAGGTCCTAAACCTGAAACAGATTATGGTGCCCTTCCATCCCCACACCCCTCCCCCCGCCACTGAGTAATTCAAAATCAAAAGAGCACTAAACCTGGCCGGGCGCAGTGGCTCACGCCTGTAATCTCAGCACTTTGGGAGGCCGAGGTAGGTGGATCTGCTGAGGTCAGGAGTTCGAGACCTACCTGGCCAACACGGTGAAACCCCATCTCTACTAAAAATACAAAAATTAGCAGGGTGTGGTGGCGTGTTCCTGTAATCCCAGCTACTTGGGAGGCTGAGGCAGGAGAATTACTTGAAGCCAGGAGGCAGAAGTTGAAGCGAGCCGAGATCATACCATTGCACTCCAGCCTGGGAGAAAGAGACTCCGTCTCTAAATAAATAAATAAATAAATAACCTGAAAATAGGTCGGTGAAGACCAGCACATTCCAATTTTTCTCATGGTGATCACTCTAAGGCTTTTTTTGTTGTAGTTTTAAAGTTTAAATTCCATTCAAATGAGTCTTTTCCCCCTTTTATTTCTGGGAGGATGCCTGCACATTGCTGGCTTTGTAAGCACCTGCCTCGTCAACTTCTAGGCAACCTTGAACTGCAGTCTAAACCTCTCTCTCCTCTGCCTGCCTATTCTCAGGCCTTGATGAAATCCAGTGCTCCCTGCCCATGGAGAGCAGGAGGATATCCCTGCGCGAGCTGTCGGAGGCCAGCTTCAGCGAGTGTAGGTTCAGCCTGTCGCTCACAGACCTCTTCATCATCATCTTCTCCGGCGTGGCTGTGTCCATTGCGGCCATCATCTCCAGCTTCTTCCTGGCCACCGTGGTGCAGTGCTTCCAGAGGTGTGCACCCAACAAAGATGCGGAGGATGAAGACGAGGATGAGGATGACTGAGCCACCTTCTCCTTCCTGCTCCTTACTCTCCAGCACCGAACCAGAAGCCTTCTCCAAGCAGAGAGGAAAATGCTGAAAACAGAAAAGCACTGGCCACTGTCTGTGAATGGAATGGAGCCTGTTCCATGTCTTGGCCCCGGGTGCACCTGCTGGGACCATCAATCTCAGAGTTTAGAATCAGCAGAGCAGAGAAGCCCGGGAAAGATGGAGGGAATTCTTCCTGGAGCATAACCTGCCTCTCACACTGAGGTGTGTGCTGGGGGAGAAGATGACCGAGTCAGTTTCATAGCTGATGGGTAAAAGCCTCCCCCAGGAGATACAGAGACTTGCAACTTTCAATGGGAAAGATGATTTTGTGCCATTCTTTTTCTGACCTATACCGGGAGATCATGAAGCATCTACCTTCTTCCCAAGAAGCAGCAGCTCAACCAGTGGAGATTCAAATTCGGATCATTCACCACAAGAGTGAGAACTTTGCTCTTTATATAATGGGCCTCAGCAACCTTGGGATATTATACTGAGAACTAATAAACTCGTGTGCAATAGACTCAATGTTTATGTGTCCCCAGAATTTCTATGTGGAAATCTAATCCCTAGTGGGATGGTATTTGGAGGTGGTGCTTTTGGGAGGTGATTAGATTTAGCTGAGTTCATGAGGATGGGGCCCAAATGATGGGATTAGTGCCCTCATGAAAGTTGGCCCCAGAGAGCTCCTTCACCCCTCTAACACTTGAGATGCAGCAAGAAATCAGCCACCCATGAATCAAGCAGGCCCTCACCAGAACCCAACCACGCTGCCACCCAGATCTCAGGCTTCCAGCCGCCAGAATTCGGAGAAATAAATAAATACCTGTTGTTTGTAAGCCACTCAATCTCTGGTGTTCTGTTGTAGTGGTTGAAATGGACCAACGAAGAAGCTCGAGGGTGTCTGTTGTTAATTTTGGTAAGCTGGTTGGAAAAACTTTGAGTTGATGTAACTCAAAGCCTGATCTTTATCCTAAAAGAAAGCGACTTGCAGAGAAAGAATTAGTTGCTTTGTACGGTTGGGATGGTCTCTCTGCTCAACGTCATTTTTCCTTTTGAAGTATAGAGAGGTTGTTCTCCATCACCCGTTTCCTGAGTCCCTTCGCAGGTACTTTGTCAGCACAGTGCTGGACTTGTCATCACCAGAACTTTCAGTAAACGTGCCTGGAGGCCAGTATTCCAATCAGCATGTTGCACTGATGTTGCTCTGGATCAACAAAATGCTTCGAAACAAGCAAACAGAAACAAAAAACCCCTGGGACTTGGCCTCTGAAAAACTTCCATCAGTGGCCCTTAGGGTGTATGTGACATTGCTTTTGAGCACAGGCTGTGACAGGCAGTGTTTCCCAGGATGTGGAATCCAGTACTTTGGTTCAGAGACAATATGAAACAAACAAGTCTTCCACCCCAGTGGGTTAATTAATACAGGATAGCCTGTGTTAGCAGTGTTGGAGGAGGCTCTCACACCAACTCTCGAGATATTTCTGAGAATCGTTTCTCACATTGTTTCCTATCATATATTCCTGTTTCTTTCCTCCATTGCTCCCTTCCATCTTTGCTCCTATAAATAGCTGTTGAGTGCTTGCCAAGTGCCAGGTACTGGATCAGGCACTGCCGTTGTACATTGGCTAGGAAACACAGGATCCCTGCTCTCTTGTGCATTATATTCTGATGGGTAGAACATAAAACAAAACTATCATTGCAAGTAGGGATACGTATCATGAAGGAAATAAAGTCCTTTGGCAGAGAGTCAGTGGGAGAAGACACTCCAGGGGAGGCAGCGGGGTATATTAGGGTCCTCCAGAGAAACAGAACCAACAGCAGACAAAGGGATGTATTGTAAGGAATTGGTTCAGGAGATGATGGAGGCTGAGAAGTCCCATGATCTGCAGTTGGTGAGTTGGAGTCAGGAAAGCTGATGGTGTAGCCCCAGGCCAAGGGCAGAAGACTCAGCTCAGCAATCAGGCAGAAAAACAGTGGATTCTCCCTTCCTCCACCTTGTTGTAGTCAGGCCCTCCATGGATTAGATGAGGCCTGACACATTGGGGCGGGCCTCTGCTTTCCTCAGTCCACCTGTTCAAACGTTCATCCCATCCAAAAACGCACTCACAGACACACCTGGAAATAGTCTAACCAAATATCTGGGCACCCCGTGGCCCAGTCAGGTTGACACAAAATTAACCATCACGTCGCAGAAGGCCTTTGATTGGGGTGGCTTTCCGGCTGAGTCCTGCTTCCCTCTTCTCCCGCCTCCCAACCTGCTCGCTTCTTTCCTGCCTTGCCACTGTCTTCCTTCACCCTTCTTGTCTCCCCTCCTGCCTCGAGGAGGCTCTGGTCACCCCTCCGCTCCCCAGCATTGCAGTCCCCAGTGGAGGGGACCCCTGGCTCAGGAGGGCTACCTTCTCACAGAGACCCTGGGCCAGCGGAGAAGTGAGTGGCAGCCTGGGTGACACAGCAAGACTGTCTCAAAAAAAA